CATTTTGTCTATACATACTAGTAAATGCTCGCGAGTGATTAATATTAATATTTACGGCATCTCTTYCTGTGGTGCAGCGAAGAGGCAGAAGCGCTGGCCAAAAAGCTCAAATTAAGATTCTACCGGGCGTCTGTGAAGGAGGATCTGAACGTGAGCGAAGGTGAGCGAGGCTCGGCGCCCTCCTTCCTGCTGCCGCTGGTTCCCAGCCTTTGCTGCACTGCTAAGTGGCTCATAGTTAATGAATAATTAACGTAACTGCTTAATAGCTTCATTAATACTTAAACTGTATTGGAAATGGCATCTGCTGCAGCCTTTTTTCTGTGGGTGGTATCAGGTGCTGTGTCACCTGTTAATGTCTGTATTTCCTTTCATAACAGGATTGTGCTTCAGCCCCTATCACTTGTGGGGCAGGTTTGAATAAGCAGCAAGTTCTCTCTCTGACTGATTTTGTTTGCTTGTTTCTTTCATCAGAGAAACTTAGAAATAAACTTCCTGTTTCTCCACCATTAATATCTTTCAAATTGGAAAGCAGAACTTCTACAGATTTTCTACATAAGAATTTTTTTTTTCTGTGTATCAGTTCTAAATGAGTTAGTATTTACAATTGTAAATAATTGGCCTCTAAAGATTCTGCAAATTCTCATATACTTGAAGACTATTAAGAATCTTAGGTTATGTATACGCTTATATATATAAGGGTCTGTCAGCAAGCATGTTTTGGGCAGAAAGATATTTTTATTGTATGAAGACTTTTTTTTGTTTCGTTTTTTAAGCATACTATGACATAACTTTTTTTTTTAACTTTTCAGTTTTTAAGTATTTGGCTGATAAGTATCTGCAGAGGCTCAAGCAGCAAACAGCTGAAGATCCAGACGTGCACACGGGCAGTAACAAGATTGGTAAGTGGACCGTATTGGTGGCCGACACGACGACCCTGTTAGCTGCCAGGGGAGCACAGGGCCTCTTCTGCAGCCTGCTGGACTTAACAGAAATGAAGGCAGCCTCCATGTAATACTTTCCTGTTTCCTAACTTTGTGACTTTGAAGTTACAAGATTGGCACTTGCAAAACACTGACTAGAAAACTCAGTGTATCCATGTGGCAGTTTTTAAATTCTTTTAACCAGATGTTGCTTAAATGCTCGAGCTGGGCTGCTCGCTGCGGGTTTTTTTAATGGGTCTGTATTGGCGTTGCTCACCGAGGTGCAGGCTGCCCTGGGAAGGCAGGCGGTTGCAGGCGGGTGGGTGCAGGCCCTGCCTCGTGAGAAGGGGCCTTGGTGCTGCTCTGCTGCAGCTCTCCTGCAGCGCGCGCTGCAGGCGGCTGCTCGGCGCAGTGCTGCTCGTGCAGCCCGCTCCCTTCACGTCACCTTGGTCGGGTCTCTGACCTGCAGGCCCGTGGGCCTTGGCCCAGGCCTGCACGACAAGACACAAATGTTTTCTTCAAACTCTGCAGGCGTTTTTAACCCGGCCGGCGGGAGCCAGTGCAGCCAGAATTGCAGCACCCTCAACGGCGGCGACGTCGTCAACCTGCGGCCCAACAAGCAGAGGACCAAGAAGAGCCGCAGCCCGTTCAGCAGCTGCAGCCTCCCGTAGGGACGAGCAGCGCGGCSGGGGGGACAGAGGGCGGCGGCGCTCGCTCCCGCGGGGTCTCGGGGCAGAGCTTCCCCGGTCTCCTGTGCCGGGGGGCTCCCTGGAGCGGATTTCACTGGAATTGCTGACGCCGGGGCTTTGGTAGCGGAGGGAGACGCCTGGCGGCAGAAACGGGGWCGGTGGCTGCGCCGGACGCTCCCCGAGGACAGAGCCCGCGAGATTCTCCGGGATGCAGGAATCGTTCACGGAGCTGGCAGCTCGGCTTTGYGGAGCTGTGGAGCACATTTAACACAAGGATAACGCTTCCAGGTAGAGGTACAGAGCAAAACGACGCGGCCCGAGGTGGAGTAACCACTTCCAACCAAATTAAAAATAATAATAAAAAGGGGGGGAAAAATAAAACCCATGTCAGAATTGCTTAGCCGGGACACGGAAACATTGCAGGAGGAACATGGTGAAGACATCACACTTCAGGCCGGACCGTGTCCATACAGATCCTGGCAGTTCTCTTAGTGCAATATACTTGTGTTATATGAGTGTTAAGGTGTGTGTGTAAACATTTGGGTTGGACATTTAGGCTAAGTTCAAGCATATACTTCATTTGACTTCCTGTGCGGAGCAGCCAATGGCTTTTCAAACAGCTTTTCTGTTAAAAGTTTTGCCTTGCAGATGAGACGTTCCGGGTTGGTACTGTGTCACTTGCTACACCTTGGGCCTAACAGCTTAGATTTAAACATGTAYGGTGCCAAAAACATTCTACTTCTTACCTAATGCTGCGCTACAGATGTTCCTGTATGTTTGTTTCTCTCAGTCTTAGCAGGTTGAACAAATAAGCTGGTCTCTGATACTAACCGTTACTCACACGGAGCCTATAAAACCAGTCATACTCCTGTCCAAAACGTGCTGGCCGGATGCTGTTTCACCTGTGAAGAGAAGRAGGTGCAAAGTGCTGTCGCAAAGCCCTTAAGTTCTTTGGAGAAGTTTCTCTTAGGTATCAGAACCTGGGCTTTGGGGGGTGTAAGAACCTGCAGCTGGTGACTGAAAGACGCTGAGGAGACTTCCTTTACTGTTGTCAGGAATTCAGAGCTAGTTGTGGGTCCAGCTAATCAGCATCTGCATGATCAGGGCCATGGCAAAAATCTTTCCAAGTGCTTAATTTACAGAAGTGATGTTAGACTTTTAGGAGTCCAAATCTAAATTTAGTTTATTTGGGTTTGGGCTCCTAAATCACTTAAGGTGCTTAAAAAATGTAGATCAAGATGTYTGTTATTTACCAAGAATAAACACTTTTTAATCCACCTCCAAGCATGCATCGGTTTTAAAATACCTGTTTTGTTTACATGTTTCACGAACAACTTTAACTTTCTAGGATTTGTATAACTGACCTGGCAGGAATGAATGCAAAATACTCTGAGGAGGGAAAAAAAAAAGGGGGGATTTTAAGTATTTGTTAAGCTGTGTTTGCGATGGAGGAGCGGCAGTCGCTGGGCGTGCTGGGCGGCAGCCGCAGTGTGGCGACTGAGCCGAGCTCGTGGCCGCYGGCCGGCCSCAGGGCTGCCCCGYGTCCCGGGCTCTCTGTTCCCCGTTCCCACCCGGCACYTTCCGCCGAGCGCTCCGGGGGCTGGACACGCAGCAGGCCCCGCGCGGCCCCCTTTGCTGTCACGGCACAGCCGGGCGCTCTTCAGCACGTGTTTCCCTTGGAAAAGGCCCTTTCCTTTACAGTGCATTTAGTTGCTGTGTCTATGTGCGAGTCCCACTTGCTGTAGCAATTTGGGAAGCAAAATGCTGAGGATGTGGTAACCAAGAGACTTGCAGCGGTACCTGACGGGATCATCCCACTGCCTAGGTCATCGTTACAGATGTTTGCAATGTGGAAGCTCACATTCCACTGGCTGCTTGCCAGTTTTCTGTCTGTTTTTAAGCAAACAGAACCACCAAGCGTCTGAAACAGCTTTTTGTTGTTGTTGTTGTTGTTTGTTTAATTTAACTTTGTACAAGGTCCTACAAACGAGTCACTTGAGCTTATAAGGAACACTTACACAGCTACGTGTTGTGCTTTAGACATTGTACTGTTCGTATAGCAGCCATTTGCAGGCTCTCGATATAAACCACTGCTTTAAGAACCAGAAACTCAACACAAGTGTTCATAGATGGCGACTCCAGAGACGAGCTACGGCTTAGGAGATGTTGTCATTAGTACTTGCTGGCTTTAACCTAAGAAGGTGTTTGCAGCACTGGGTGCAAGTCACTTCTAGCCCTGTCTCAAGCCTTTGTGGGGAGACTTCTCTGCAGGTACATGACCTAAAATTTATAAATTACCTAAATACCTAAAAATTGTATAAATTACCTTTATTCCTCCTGGCTTTAGCATGTGGTGTGAGCCAGCTGAAGTCACGTGCGTATTGCGGGCGGCTCAGGCGTTCGCGCCCCTCATCAGCAGCTTCTGCCTTTCGGGTGCACAAGCCTGAACTGGGGCACTCGGGTCGTCCCTTGCGAGTAGTTCCTATGATGACCGTTGGCCCGAGCCCCCTCAGGGCTCATCGGTGCCTGGAGAGTTTTCAGACAGTTCTAAGTARTAAAGGGGGTTCTGTACAGGAGCTGAGACAGTCGCCTCAACTGAGTCCTGTTAACGCAGCACTAAATTAGCCTCCTTCTCAGGGTRCTGTTAGGGTAGTGCGTGGTCAGGGGAGTGAGTATTCCCGTTGTCTCTTACAGAGATCAATGTTCAGCAGAACCAACTCAAGTTGGTCAGAGAAGGTTTTAAAAAATTATCCAGACCAGGAGAAATGTTGTTCTCTTTGCTAAGATAAAAGGTTATAAATTGCTTACTCTATTTTCAAGTTCATGTGAACCTGAATGGTTGAAACAGATCATGTATATTAGTATTTTTATCAGTGTCACRCACTCAAGTTAATGTAACATATATTTTTAGAAAAACACGTTGATGTAACTCACAGTTAATCCTTAAGTGGAAAAATAAACATTTAAAATCAMCTATTCTGTTGATTCTGTTGATTTTAGAACCCACAGGTGCTAATGCTGCTTGTCCTGTGTGAGCGCCAGGGGTTGGTTCACAGCAGACTGGGAGGGTTTTGGTGGGATTCCCGTGGGGCGGCCCCATGCCGCTGCTGCTGCTGCAGTCGCACCCAAGGCAGGCAGCGGGGCCGGGTGAGGGCGCTSGGGGCGGCGCGTGCCCCGTCCTGGCCCCGGGAGCTGGTGGCGGGTGTCAGCGTGGGCGCCCCGAGTGCCCTTCCCTGGCTCTTGCCTCCGGCTCCCAATGCAGCAGCTCCAGGGCAGAGGCGGCGCCTCCGCTCTGCTCTTCTGCCGCGGCTAGGCCAGCTCCCGGTGCCCTGACGGAGATCAGCAGCCCCGCGTGCGGCTGTAGGCTTTGAGAACGGCGTTAAAATGTTGCTGGTACATCCAAGATGCTTGGTGAATTTTTCTGAAAATTGTCCACAGGTCCAGGGGCTTGAGGAGGGCAGAACTCGCAGCATTTGGGTCTGCGTCCTGCTTGCCCAGGAGGGCTCCACTCCAGTGCTCCCACGTCACTCCTGCAACACCCGCCACGTGGTCGCGTTTGCGAGACCTTCCCAAGCTTGAGGATCACTGCTGCCCGAGCCCGGATTAGGCTGGAAAGTGGAAAGTAACCGTGCTGCTTTGCTCTGSAGCAACTAGGAGCCAGCCTGGGCCATGTAAACGTAGCTCTTTTTTCTATGCGACTTGCTCGGTTGTGCCTTACACATGCTTGGTCTGACTGACTCTATTTCCACTTTTTCCCACAGCAGACAGTGTTTTTATACAGAGATGTATTTAAAAACCGTCCATGTGTTTCTTTTGACCCCTGTTACTTGCATGATGCCAACCCTGGTTTGTGTTACAGCAACAGCCGCTGAAAGCAGCTCTGAAAGCGCAGGGGAAGCCCTGAGAGTGGAACTGCCTGTTCAARGGAGCTGTACACACTGTAAAACTCCAGGCTGCTCAAGCCCATGTGGGTGTTAATGGATGTGGAAAGTCAGTCTCGTATCTTAGAAAAGCTCGGGAGAAGGCACTAACAGAAAACTTGCAGGTCAGATAGATAGAGAATTTATAGAACTTAAGGCAAACAGAAAGAACTTAAAAAAAAAAACCACTAGGTAATTTAGGCCAAAAGAAAGAAGGCTRCTCTGGGCTATTAACTCATCTCCTGAGATTGTCACCGTTTCCCTTCTGTCCTTGCGAACAAGATCAGGGCTGGTTATACCAGTGAGTGGTGGGAGGAGCAGCACAGAGTTCGGCTCCCTGAAGGCACAGTAGGAGCAGGGCTGCTCCGCTCCCCCGAGCTGCAGCCCCAGAGAAGCAGCTGAAGAAAAACAGGCAGGGTCCTGGACTCCAGTGCTCTCCTATACAGCCGGCAGATTCCTCTCCTCCTATCTAAAACACAGCATGAGAAGTTCTGTCTTCTTTTTAGGTATTTCTACCACTGCAATTCTAAAATCCATCTCGCTCAATTCTTAGGAACGTTTGGCAAAGTCTGAGTTGAAAACCGGGGCAGTTTCAAGAGTAAAATGTAGCCTCTCACTTGGGTCAGTGCCCCAGGCAGGAGCTTCCTCTCTTCAATTTAGCCTGGGGAAGGCAACTCTTCCTAGAAAATACTGGACTCTACCAATTGTGCCAATCCACTAAAGTTATGGTCAGTAAGAAGCAGGACAGTATCTCCTTTAGGAAAATACAATGCACAATTTATTAATTGGTTTATTGCAGTGATTTGTCCTTTTGCCCCAAACAAGTTGCACACACCATGTACACAGTGCAGGAAAGTTGTGGTAGTTGAAGTCTTAATATAGGACCAAACTTGCTGAAAAAAACACCCTAACAGAAAGGCTGGCAGTTCCTGACAGGCAGCAGAAGCACATTCCAAGCTGCAGCAGCAGTATCGCCTCTAGAGGCAACACCTCCATAGCCAGYTCCTTAATGCCAAAAGAAAGTGCCACTATTCCCCAAGCGCGGTGACTCCTCTCCCAAAGGAATCCCCCAGGAGCAGGTGCTTAATCCTGTTTGCTGTTGCAAGACTGTCGGGCGGCTGATTTCTGGTGCTCTAACAACGTGATGGACTTCTCGGAATTTTCCAAGTTTCTCAGCAGAGTCTCTAGCCTCCTCTTGATTTTCTTCTGATCCTCTATGGCACATCCGATTACAACTGACTGGAACTTCTGGTCGATGGGCCCCGCGGGCACGTCGGACGTGCAGGCGCCGTACAGCGAGAGCAGGCGCATTTTGGCGTCTTCCAGGTCGTCGAGGAGCTTGTTGACGATCTCATCGATCATCCTGGTGGCGTGCAACAGGGATTCCTGCTGCTGCGCGTTCCGGATTGTTTCCACCGACACCTCCACCGTGAGCGTTCGGCCCATCAGACGATTAGCGGTCAGGTTCAGCTCTTCTCTTTCACCTAATTTGAGAAAGAAGAAAACAATCTAGGTTACCAACCATCACACTGCAGTGCTGGTCACATGAAGATAACTGCACTACTACAAGAGTTAAAAAAAAAAGGTACAAGAGGCTAGTGACAATGACTAAAATTTCCAGAGGCCAGAAATGGGGCTCTTTGCATCCTACCAAAAGGAGGATCTAAAAATCCTACTTTTTACTGCTCATCCAATGCGCGTGTGAAGCAGGCAGTAGTGCCTGCAAACATCATACTCTAACCAGACAAGCATGTCGAGGACCTCTGTATGTGCAGAGGAGCYTTATGGTACCCCAACAGGCCATAAAAGAAGTGATTTCTGACTACCAGACTTTTGATGAGGGGACATTAAAAAAATGTGTTTCTATTTTGTGAAGACATTTTTTTTTCCCCTCTAAAACACCAGCTTGCTGTGTTTCAAAGGCTCTGAAAGAACCAATAAACTGGCAATTTAAGGCATCTCCTACAAAAGATTTGGGTTTGGTGAATATATTTAGACCAGTGTTACACAATCACGGGAACTACATTAACGAACTGGTTCCTGCAGACGCTGCACATCTCATAACAGTCGTGCCTGTCCAGGCACTAAGCCATTAAAATTATTGTTACTCTTAGCTGAAAATCAACCAAATAAACCAACCCAATCCACTTGTCTCTCTCTCATCAGAGATGCACTAGCATAAAAAATACAAATSCAACAGGGCACTCGGCACGGGCTCCCCAAATTCGGTGGTGAAGGGAGTGCCAGGGCAGGGGCTCCCGCGAGGCRGGCGGGAAAGCAGCTCCCACCTTCGCTGATGTGCCGCATGTCCTGGCTGTTCTGGATGTTGTGGATCATCTCCAGCAGGATTTCCTTCTCCTGCTCCATAGCAGATGCTGCATCACGGAAAGCCTCGACCCTGCACATGGGCGAAACAAACAAAATCTTTAAATAAAGCTATTCTTCACCTGTGCAGCTTCCAAGAGGGTTTTTCTAAAGCTTAAGGCAAAGTCACCTCTTAATTATCCATGAGCAAATAAATCACGYGCCAGGCTTCCTGACTCCATGCCCTCCTTGCACGCCTTGGGTTCCCTCTCCTTGCTCTTCCTGACAGTGTGGCTCGGCCGTGCCCCAGACCCACAGCCCGGGGCACACAGCGCTGGGGGTACAGGCCGGCGGCAGGGCCAGCGCCCCACGCACACCCACTAGCCGCAGGCCCAGCCCAGCCCCTCCTGAGCCSTGGAGCCAAAGGCAGCGGCGGAGGCACCCAGGGCTCCCACGACACGGGCAGAGCCACACGAGCAGCACGCGTGAAAGTCGCTCCCGGCGGAATCCCGGCTCAGCCTCGTCCCCTCRGTGGGGCCGACACAAACCTGGGCCACTGCAAAGGGAAGGGGAGAGCCCATCAGAAACCGCAGCCTCCCGTTAACTACGGTCACACTCCAGGGCTCTCCCCRCCACCAGCTGTACCATGAAGAGGCTGACATGGCCACCAGCAGAAACACAAGCCCAACTCCTCCATGAGGTGCTGCTCCCAGCCTGGTTCCGGGCAGGGACCTTGGCAGCTGGAAAAGCGCCCAAGAAAACTGCCGAGGCTGGAGCCTGTTCCCCTGCCTGGGCCTTGCATCCCAGGACTCGCCAAGCTTGGGTGCAGCGCAGAGCAACGGGGATGATTAAGGGCCTGGAGCATACCTTACGAGGAAAGACTGAGCGAGCTGGGCTGYTGGGCCTGGAGAAGAGAAGGCTGAGAGGAGGTCTGATCAATATGTGTAAATACCCAAGAGGAGAATGTAGGGAGGAAGGGGCCAAACTCTTCCCAGTGGTGGCCAGTGACAGGACAAGGAGTAATGGATATAAATTAAAACAMAGTCAGTTCCATMTCCRTGTGAGGAAGAACTTCTTCACTGTGAGGGTGACAGAGCCCTGGAACAGGCTGCCCAGGGAGGTTGTGCTGTCTGCTTCACTGGAGACCTTCCAAACCTGCCTGGATGCCGCCCTGTGCCCCGTGCTCTGGGTGTCCCTGCAGGAGCAGGGRGTCCCTTCCACCTAGGACCTTCTAGAGGTCCCTTCCACCCTCAGCCATTCTGAGGCTCTAACTACAACAAGAGTAGGGCCCRATCCGACAGACCCGCGCTGCCCAGGCCCCCAGCAGCCACGTGGGTGCCCCACGACCCTGGCTGACAGGTCTAGATGCCTTCAGTGCGGGCTGAAGACATAGGCTCTGTTACCAGCAGAGGAGTCCATCTATCTGCAGTGTTTATTAAACCTGGCCAAAAAAGGAGAACAACCCACAGTATTATGCATTCCCTTATATTCAAGGGGTGAATATAAGTCTTGGGGAAAGAGTAGCAAGAGCAAAGAGAGTGGAAAAAGGCAGAAGAACAGAAGGAACAGCAGCAGAGCAGCAGTGCCGGGGCGCACACACRGCGCTGCTGCTACGGCTCCCAGTTCCAACAGCGTCAGCAGGAGCACAAGCTTCGGGCCTTTCCTTTAATGCCCATTCTGAGGAGGAGTGGGAAAAGTGAAGTTTCTGCAATGCAAATTCTTGCCACGAGCAAATACACTTAATTATTATTTTGGACCGGTTTATAAGAGTAACTAGGCAGGTAGAGTCATTTCAGACTTCTGAGGTGTACACTATATAATTTAAGAAGTCTAACAATATTTCCATAACGCCTCATCAGGCGTTTTTAAAAACCTAATACTTTTACTATTGAAAAGGAATTATTTTGGTCACTAGATAGCTTAACATTAAAATTCGAAAGTGTCCAATTCTGATTTAATAACACATTTATGCCAACCTAGGTGTATCACTGTAGTGATTTAAAACCTAAGGCTCTGTCTCCAGCAAGTGGATCACTGGTGATTTCCGAAGGGATTTTCGAGCCCTGTAAAGAACGTGAGAAACGCCAACAGAGACACATCTCCTACTGCTGCCACTCAAAAGCAAGAGCCCAAAATATCCTGCTTCCAACAGAGAGTGCTCAGGAGAGGTGGGACCTGAGAGCCAAATCAGCAAAATTAGTGAGCATCTCCTGCATAAAAGCACCAACTCAGCAGTTACTGCTTTGATTGACAAAACACAAAATCCTCCGGGAATTCCTTGTATTAACCCTCTGAGGGGGCCCGGTGCCCCGTGGCTATTGCACTGCTGGGATGAACTCTGTGTGACTGCTGTGCCCAGGGCAGGTGGGGAGCCCCTCGGGGCTTCTTCGATATTGTCCTCACCTTTGAGGCCCTCTGCAGCTTCCACTCTCCTTTGGTTTCCTATTCACAAATATTTCCTATTTCTGATGAAATCAGCATCCAGCCTTCCCGAAAGGGCGGGTCCCCAAAACCTGGGAAAATTCATTCCCAAACCCGGAGGGCTGATTCTGCAGCACGGCAGCGGAGACASCATCTGAGCACGCGGCAAGCGAGTYTGAGGTACATTCCCAAACAGAAGCAGCGTGAACCCAAAGAGTTAGACAAGAGACCGCAGGAAACGAGCAGCTGTAGTTATGGGGGACCTCGACGTCCAAACAACACACAAAACAGCGGGATGATTTCAGAACAGCACTCCAGACAACAACTGAACAAGCAGACCCACAGCAGCCAAGGCAGTCAGGAAAATACATTAGTGTTTCATACAGAGAAGACGCTGGACAGGTTGCATGGAGGTGAGACCCTGAATTCCCACTCGTGATTACTTTGCTGAGCACTTTCCTTCCAAAATGCAAATAAATAAATAAAAGGATTTCAATATAACCTCAACTGATATGTGTTTTAACCATATTAAAAGGGGCCATGGAAAAGTTCACACAAAGACACCAAACAAAAGGAGAAAACCACAAAGTCTTCCCGCAGCCCTACTCTACCCTTCCCCTCACTTCTTACACCTTTCTCTCTGCTTACAGCAAGGCCGCCAAGTTCACACCTCGCCGTCAGCTCTTGATTTCTTTCCCAAGAAGCGCCTTAGTTCACAGATTTATGTAAAACTTCACATTCTTTTCAGGGCAACCACATTTCTGAAGTAAATTTCTAGTTCAAGTGACTTCAGTGGAAAAAGTGAAAATAGAATACAAGTTTCAATAAAAATAAAACAAAAAAAAAAGAAGACAAACAAAACCACAAGGCGTTCAGATTTATGCTGCATTATCAAATATCTTGATGGAGCAGTATGGTGGTTTTCCCATAGTTAAAATTTGACGAGGTATTTGCAGCTACTTACTGTTTTGAATATCAACTAATAAATCACTGATCATCTAGTATTAAAAAAGCGTTCGCTCTTTCTGGTTTGCCTTGGTGTGGAAGGCCAGGCTGAGCAGCGCCTTTCTTTCCCACATGCCATTCACATGAGTGCAACATTCCCGTGGGGAACAGGTGGACCAGGCTCCGCTTTTGTTTCCACATGAGAAACTTGATACCTTCTCTTCTTATGACAGCTGCAATAACTCTTTACCTTAAACTATCGGTTTATTTAAATAATTCATTAGGGAAGGCTGCATGATGAAGTTGGGGATGAATTTTCAAAGGAAAATAAGGAAATATTTGTAGGGTGTGCAGCTTTCTAACAGAGAGACCAGCAGTGCTTCTCACTTTGGTGTCCTGAGCAGCTCAAAGCGAGCACCTGATCTCAGGGGAGCAGCCCAAGGGGCAGCTGCCCTGCCAGGCCCAAGCTGCCAAACACGCTCCCCAGTGGCACCGCCACCTTCGCACCGCTCTGGCACTGCCTCCTGCTCCTCRGGAGAGGGCCTCCTGCTTCAACTCATCCCCCTTGCCTGCGGGATTTCAATAAAAAATACTCAGCAGCTGTCCCGAGTGAAGTACCTTGGGCAGAAGTACCTCGTTACTGCCGCAGAAAAAAATAATCCCTTGGAAGATGGGGAGAGAGACCCAAGCTGTTCAAGAGCAGAAAATCAAGGCAACAAGGGCTGCTGAGGCGCTGGGCCAAGCTAAAGCAGCTTGACAAGGGAGCGTTGTGAAAGGGGTTAATCAAAGACTACAGTTCACTGCGGGACAAAATGGACTTCAGCCGGTTCAATATGAATCACAGGAAGAAGCCCCCTCTTATCGCCGATAACTAGCCCTTACATACAAYTATTCTCTCCCTAAACGCGGGCGCACACTCCTTGATAGGACAATTCTCTGCTTCCAAGGACAGCACGCGTTCCTGCTTGGTTGTCGKTTGGTCAGTTCACATCTCGGTGCTCCCCCCTTGCATCCCTCTCTGCTTGGCTCGCTTCCTCGACAGACTTCTTGTTTTGCTCTCCTCAAGGCCACCTTAAAGACAGAGCTATGTGCTTTGTTAAACATGCCTTTTCTAGATGTGCTGTTAGACGAGCTATGTGCTCTATTAACCTTCTTGTATGGCTGGTTCAGTGTGCCCACTCAGTTTCTTCTAAGTACGTTCCTACAGTTCACTTTGACCAATTTTCACCYGTTATTTTTACAAATAACATCTCAAACTGAAATGAAATGGAAAAAGAAGCATGGAAGCTCTTCCTCTTGTCATTCAAATAATTGTCAAATTAGGCATGTTGATTACTTACATATAAATCAAACAYTGAGACAAACTCAGCTGACTTCAACCAAACAGCTTTACTCTTTCTACGAGAACTTTGCAGTTACTAATACGCCTGTTCACGAGACCCAAAAGAAACTGAAAATCTCAACCTGAGGTTTAACTTTTGGTTAACCAAAGTGTCTGCTTTGTTCAACTAAGTTGCCCAGCGGATGTAAAAAAACATTTTTGTGCCGTTTTACYGCTTATCTAGCGCTATGTTTCGTAGGTATAAATTCCCACATTGGATCTCCGTGTCAGCAGGAAGACTGCARCCCACAGACAGTGACTCTGGCTAGTCAAATTCAGAGAAGTCTGTGCAGAACTTCAAAGAGATTTAATCAACCAAAGCGAAAGAATAATACAACAACCCACAAAGCTCACCCTTGATTAATGCAAAGCAATGCATGCGGAAAGGGAAAGACACAAGCGCTGTATCTCACAGAGCTCCTGTAATTACAGCAGCTCAGGAAAGAGCTGGAAACATCAAGGGTGGTTCTGCGAAAGCCTCTGATCAATATGCGGCCCTAATGAAGAAAGGGTGTGTCGAAATGTTTAATGGTTTAGGTGAATCAGTGGTACTCCCACGTAAGCCCGGCGCATCTCCCCACCTCAAAGGGGACACTGTAATTAGGGAGAGCTGAGACGACAGGGAGCCTGATTAAAGGCAGGGAATTGTCTCTTTAAACAACCAAACTGGGGAGAAAAAATGGGTTGTTTGGGGAATGCCAAATAACAAGAGRTGGTGAGACGTGTCCGGACACAGCAATGAAACACTGGTCATACTCGAAATTAACGAGGAAAATATAACTAAATAAGTCTGAGAATGTGACTAAGTTGCAGGATGCCGGTTCCCCTCGGAGCCCGGCGCTGGGCGCATTTCAGCGGCTGCCAGGCGCCCACCCGCCCAGCGAGGGCCCGCGGCCGCAGCGCCGCAGAGCTGCGGGCCCGGCGGGCAACGYGACCACGGGGCCGCTCCCGCCCGGGCCGCTCCGGCCGCGCCGCCCCCGGCCACCAGCAAGAGGGGTCCGTGCCCCGCTCCCAGCAGCTCCCCCGGGCGGCTCCCTCACGGCCCGCGCCGGGACTAGCGGCTCCCGAGGGCGCCAACGGCCCCCGGGGGCGCCAACGGCCACCGGGGCGGGGGGCTGCTCAACGGCTCTCGAGGGGCCAACGGCTCCCGGGACGATGGGGGCTAGTCAACGGCTCCCGGGGGCGCCAACGGCTCCCGGGACGATGGGGGCTAGTCAACGGCTCCCGGGGG